CAACGATCATAGTCCTATGGTCTGCCGTCATAGTAGTGTTCGCAGCGGTCACTGATCCTACTGCTGCCCGACACGAGTTTCTTAGGAACGGCACCGTTGAGGTCGATACTCGCAGCTAGCCAATCATCGATTCCCCACAACTCAGATATTAGAATACCAAGCACTACCAGGATACGAAGCTAATGATGAAATAGAGATATACTTTGGTGAATATCGGATAGCATGTGAGGACACTAATCGATGGTTTCCTCTCCTTATTTGTCCATCCTCCCATCAGCATGGTTCGTATCGATGGCACCATGGAACATCTATCACGGTGGTCTTCAGTTCAGATGTAGGAGGACCAATTACACGTGAGGGTCTATAGGGCATTCTAATGAGAGTGAGGTGTGGTAGGTATACTATAGATTATAATGCCAAGTTTGATTTCAATATTACACACTTCCTCGTGCCAACCGAACAATACCAAGGCGATGCCGATGAGGACGGCTTCCCAACAGGCATGTCCCTCGAACATTGCATCAAGCTAACCCGGCCAGATTACATGAATGCCTAGGTTCAGAGGTTCTCAAAGCAATTCGAACTCTAGCTGGTGGTGCTCACGAGGATTTGGACAACGAGATTAAGAACATGACGAAATTCGAATATGGTTGGAGTGTTATTAAAGCTCTTAGAATGGCTCTATCGGGTAGTGAGCTATGTCGAGAATCAATGCACAATACGTCAATGACACACCGTTTTCATTCTGACATCGGACTACTCGTAATACGCTCACAGCATTATGAATGAACAGCATATATGCCATTCAGAACAATGTTACGGACTGAGTATCGCGGTCATATGGCATGAGATTGCCCAACTCGTCTACCCACTCCTTTCGCAGGTGATATGATACCCGGCCTCGAGTGGCGTAACTTTGGTATATTGAGACTCAGAGATTTCTGGCCAGATGAGTACACCAACCGCACCAAAGTCGTCTTCACCCTAACTGCTGGTTGATGCAAAAGTTCTCAGGTTGGCGTCATGACCGGTGAGCAGTTTGACGAGCTGAAGCGTTGGTTCGTTGAGGACTGGGCTAGATCCAGAGACACCTTCGATCCTATCACTATCATCAATGCCGATACAGGGGGTCGCATTTGGATGAGCCGTATGTGCCATGATTTGGTCGAATACGGTTTCAAGAGGTTGGCCGAGATGAAAGTAAACACACCTCCAAGTGGAAGCCTTTCAACACTTGCACAATATCCTGTCCCCCACGGGTCAATGCTTGAGAATTTGAGTTTGTCCGCTTTCTTCAAGCAACAGAGTGCAATCAGCCTCAGCGAAATGATCGTTATCTAGGTCCCACTACGGCCGGAAAGACCACTGCTAAGAGACCACATCACAGTGTATATAAAACCCGACTCATTGAAGCCACTAGATGTTCGATCTAATGCGTTCAACCGGAGAGCGGTGGCGCGCTTCATGCGAGTTTACCTCTCATTCATACCCAAGCTCAGAGACCAGTTCATTCATGCCCGTGATCTGCTCAGAAAAGTATTCATATGATGAATTTCGTGGCGCGTGAAGTTTCTCTGCTATAGATTATTGCCATGGACCTCGTGCCAGTGGGCTACCTCATGGGGCAATACTATGAGGCTGAGGTCGTGTCTCCTCTCGTGAACTACTGCTATGTGCCATTGCGTATGCCCCGTACACTGGCGAACGGCACTGTTGTTTTTGGCCAAGTTGATGCCATGAATAACAACCGTTCACTGTGCGCGTTGAAGAACAGCGATGTGGTGAGCAGTATTGGAATATATGCTCGCTTCCCTGAGCTGAGCGTAGGAGTTCCCTCGCTAATTATAGAGCTTTACACACGAATTCGGGTACAAGTGTACATAAATCGATGCGAATTTCCCCAAATTTCCTCAGAATTTTCATATTGTCATCAACACATGTAGTTGACCATGTGCATATTTTCCCACAGTGGCTGTGAGAACCCTTCGAGTTTCACTCGATACCAATGCTGCTGGTCCGTTACTCAGTTCATCTCAGGAGCTCTACAACGTAACTCTCACAGTTGAGGATCGTCTCATCATGCTTGAGAATTATATCGATGCGTTCTTCAATGCCAGCGAGAGAAGACCTCGTTACCGCTGGATATTTGCGTGCGTGTCCGGTACACTCCTAAGCCTCCTATTAACCACTGCCCACCTCCTGAACAGACGTTGTTGATGCCTCTAACATTTCTCATCCATGGTGTTGCTCAATCACCCAGTAATCGTAGTTCTCGATAATCAGGTTGCCTCATGCAGTACAACAAATCAGCATTACCGACTCTCGTTACCACCGCATACTTGCATGACGTGCTCCTGTGAGGGGACTCCCACAACTCGAACCTCTCGGATCTCGTTCACTTGAATGTCCTTGATATGAATGATCATTACTCCAGATTTCAATCCCTCACAATTGCCCACGGGTAGATGTGTTCACGAAGTTTTCGAACTCCCCGGGCATACTTTCTCTATACAAGCCAGGATCATGAGCACGCACGTATTGTTTTCGCGACCAGAGCTCGTTGAAGGTTGATTCACTGCAATGATTCTCACTCGAGTTCTCTGTGTCTGCGTGCCGCTTCTGGAGAGCTCGATGGCCGCTAGAGATCCCATTCGACATGAATTCCTCAAAGAGCGAACCATAGAGGTGCAGCCCAGCTCTCCAGTCTCGGCGTCAACCCTCCGCAGATATTGGAGTACGAGCCATCGCCAGCGTATGAGCCTGACGACACCGTAGATATCTATGTTGGAGAATACAAGATTGCTTGTGAGTACAATACTTTCCATAAACGCATCTTGCACACTGGGAATAATTCAATGATGTTATTTCTCCATCAGCATGGTTCGTATCGATGGCACCATGGAACATCTATCACGGTGGCCTTCAGTTCAGATGTAGGAGGACGAATTACACGTGAGGGTCTATAAGGCATTCTAATGAGAGTGAGGTGTGGTAGGTATACTATAGATTATAATGCCAAGTTTGATTCAAACATAACGCACTTTCTGGTACCCACCGAGAAGTACGAAGGACATCTCGACGATGACGGTTTCCCTACTGGTAGTTGTCATAGCTTCGCAAGATCTTGCATGCACCGGGCTCAGGTCCCGAAGTGATGCAAGCAGTCCGCACTCTGGCTAGCTTGGTGACAAGGGAAACCCCCGACTACAACGAGGACAGCATGAGGAATCTCACCAAATTTGAATTTGGCTGGACGTTCATCAAAGCCCTTAGGATGGCTTTATCAGGCGAGTGCTCTCCTCTAGACCTCGCACGCCTATTGTGTCTTTTCTACAGGGGATATGATTCCTGGTCTGGAATGGCGTAATTTTGGCATATTGCGATTCCGAGATTTCTGGCCCAAAGAGTACAGCACGCGGACGTTGGTGAGTTTTCAGCGGTCACTGTGTTGCCATTTGCTACGCTTAGGTTGGCAACATGACTGGTGGTCAATTTGACACCTTCAAGCGATGGTTCTTGGAAGATTGGGCACGTCCAAGGGATACCTTCGATCCTGTTACTGTGATCAAGGTCGACTCAGGCGAGCGAATATGGATGAGCAGAATGTGTCACGATCTGGTTGAGTACGGTCTCAGACAGTTGGTTGAAATGGGAGTAAGAATGTTCACCGACCCTGCATATCTGAGATCAAGTTCATCAGATCCCACTACGATCAACCAAGTCAGTTTTTCGTGATCATATTCCTGTCTATGTGAACTACATCAAACCACTAGACGTTCGAGGCAACGGTTTTGACCGACGTGCCGTTGTGAGGTTCCTTCGTCTCTATATGTCTTTTATACCACAAATGCGCGAACAGTTCATCCATTCAAGAGATATGCTCAGAAAGGTTGGTCAGCGTGGTGGAGGATTTGTTTCTATTTTACCTCAGGCGCTGGCTATGGGCCTCATTCCGGTTGGATACTTCATGGGTAGCTACTATGAGCTCGACATCGTTCCACCTCTCATCAACTATTGTTACATTCCTCTTAACATGCCTCACCTATTACCGAATGGATCGGCTGTTTTCGGCCCAGTCGACGCGATGAATCCGAATCTCTCACTGTGTGCATTGCCGAATGTTAATGTGGTGAGTCTCCCAGTTACGGCGATATTCTTCAAGAATAATTCTTGGCAATGCTCCCTCAGGAACTGGGCAACGTCACGCTCACGATAGAGGACCGTCTTATTATGCTAGAGAACTATCTGGATCTCCTATTCAATGCTCCTGAGCGACTCCGGCATCCGAAGCATCGTAGCGTTTTTATGATGGTCACAGGAACGATTGTATGCGGCCTCCTCATGATTGTGTACTGGCTGCGAAGTCACAAACCATGACTCGTCATTGATGGCATTCGTTGTATTACATGATCCAATTGTGATCTGCCTCGGCTCCTGGTTTGTGTTTGTGACCTCGTTCGAACAGCAACAGAAGCAATTTCGCTATTCAAACGGATTATCATTTACCAAGATGCAGGATGTACCCTTGGTAAAATCTTGAAGATTAATAATGATTCACTATCGTCATGAGTCATAGGCAAAAAACTTGGATACATCGTAGCGAAAGGATGTTGAGGATGAACTACAGAATGTATTGATCATCACTGCAACTACGACAGACCTTCGCACGGCCCTCGTGTAACGGATCTAGCCACATGCGACCACGCATGCTTGCAATGATAGATTATAAGGGTACTCCGTTCGTCTGTCTATACGGCCTCATGAGAGGATGCACCGAGGTACTAGCACGCAATACGTAGCAGCTTCAGCGAACAACAATCTTTTCTTTCAGATAAGACATGGATCCTTCATGAATTGAGAGCTCGCAGTGTTAACTTGTCCACCCCGACATTTCCTTGTCGCCCGGTGGCCTCATGAATTCGCCGCTCTAAGACGAAGGCTCTCCTGAGCTACCCGAGCCTGTTCATAGGCAGCACGTATTTCGTCAAACTCGCAAACCAAGAAGTCATCATTTCCTGTTGGCTCCCGCGGAGGACCTCGGAGCTCGCTCAAGTTCTGGTCATTGCACCTCTCGGCTCACCCAGGCGCTGACTCTTACTCGCCTCGCGGCTGTCTTTATAGAATGTAGAAGCGCTGGTTCCGAACAGCCTCCGTTATGGGTGTAGGCAATGATGTCAACCTTGAACAGCTCTGCGATGCGCTATGCTTCCTCGCCGCATGCGCAACCCGGGCTGCAGTGGTAGCTCGTGGTTCCGAACCATGAAACCGAGCCAGGATTCTCAACCTCAGGTATGCTGTTAGTCGTCCATTAATTGAGTCGCGATCTTATATAGACCACATAGTGCACGTTCTCCAGTGGAGAATCTCCACCCCTGAAATTACCTGGGGAAGCATGAAGCGAAGCGGAAATGCTGGGAGGTGCAAAGTGCTAGAAGCAGTGTACAACGCTCTGTGCCCTCTAGCTCAGATCCCAGTTGTTGCACTGGGCATCGGTTGTCACTATTAGTAGTTGAATTGTTATTGCATCAATATGTCTACTGTCTTCCTTCGTGTGGGAGAATTGCGGATCTGCTCAACTGTGGAAAACCTGCCATGACGGTGTAGGCGGCATGCTTTGCCCACAGTTTGATGCGTTCTCGCAGATCACGGTTTGTTTCATAGCCCAAGGGAGGGTGCTGTCGTGTTCGACAGCTGGGTGGGATATGTATATATGTGTCTCATCTGCAGAAGCAAAGTTGCAACCGAGAATTTGTTGAACTCAACATAGACGACGGATGGAGTTACTTCATAGACCTCAATGATGATGATATTACTCAACATCATAATACTGGCCGTGGTGACTGAGCTGACTGTGTCAGAAAATCTCATTTGAAAGTCACACACGAATTCGACTACTATGTTGAGCAAAAATATTTGACTAAGTTGAGTATACGCAAGATACCAAAAAAACCCAGATCTTCGGTATCCGCACCGGGCAGGTCTAAAAAAGTCCGTTCAAGTCTATTGTTCACATTACTTCAGTCTACTCGAGTACATAGAAACAAGCCGAGTCCTCGACTACCAGTGAAAATTATTACGAGATGTAAACATCAGGATATACCGCAAAAAATGTCTCACCGAATATCATTAGACAAACGAGCGCCTCCTTCAGAAAAAAACAAACCTTCGAATAACTTAGGATTCTCGGAACCCAGCGCTTATCAAAAAACTCAAACATGTATAGATATCAGCTACTATGGCAGCACTCCCTTGATTTTCGACGACACCGGCAGCTACGGACTCGAGAAGGGCTTGGTGCATCACGCCAGGGGCTTGACAAGCGTTTGGAGTGGTGATGTCCGAGCTGGAATGACTCCTAGGAGTTACAGGGGACAGAGAGGGATGGGATAGAGGCAACCCATTTTGCAAAGGGCTATGAATTTTTAAAGGCTCAAGCGATTCGATACGAAGGCCACGAGTGTTGTTGTTGTTGACAGCTCTGAGAAGTGAGCGGGAAGGTTTTTTGTTGTTCTTATAGACATCACCATGATAGAGAGAGAGCACATAATCGTTATTGGGATCAATCCGATTGGAACCCGCCAGTCTAATGCCGGAGACAACCTCCCCCTGAGAGTGGGCATTGCGACAACCATCACCCAAGTTGCAACCGTGAGCACTGCAGAGGTACTTGCAGAGTCTTTTAATTACGGGCATCGGGGACTTCTCAAGTTCCTTCTCATCATGGGCAAAAGGACAACGACCACGACCACGACAATATCCGGCTTTAGAAGGGCATAGATAAGACTTAGGACGGGCTAATTGATAGGGGGAATGCGCAAAGGGGCACAGGTCGCCGTCCAGACACCCTTGACCGCCCGTGACATTGTACACGCAGAATCGAGAACGAAACTGAGGAAAGATATGAATAATGGAGAAGCTCATGAGATACTTACCTATGTATAGGGTGGCTTGTAGCAGTAGCAGATTCAGCCCCGAGTGGAGGTGAGCTAAGCAGTCCTGGGGGAGTCAAGGGGGCGGTACTAGCGGACGGCAGAGGGGTGAAATCGAAATGATTCATTAAAATGACAAAAACACTTTTGTCCATGCAGACGCCGTCCTCTGTAGGTGGATACCAGAGCGGCAAGGAGACATTCTCACACGAGGGCTCAGGGATAAGGACGTTCGATACTGAACTCATATCGCTGTTCTGAGAACAGTGTTCTCGGTAGGCGACTTGAGCCAAGTCAAAACATAAACTAGTCTTCAAAGCATTGGGGCCCGCGTGTCAAGTTAATGTCACGAAGATTTGAACATAGAGGAAATGCAAGTGAAAATGAGAGAGAGAAGTGCTGGTTGAACGCCATTCTATGTGCATACGTACGACGCGCCGCACTCGTCATAGAACGCGTATGGGCGATTCACACAGGTTTGGTGATGATGATGATGCGATATGAATCATATCGCATCATCATATCATATGATACGGCTGCATCACATACACAGTACTAGCTGTTGGCCCAAGTTATGAATTGAAACTCGTGATTATCTATCATGCTGATTGAATCAAGTTGATTCTGTCTGGTCCATAGTTCACCCGAGCGGGTCGATCAGGAGTCATATGCGCATGATGATGGAAGGATCAGATTTTTGAGAAAAATCATCCGTCCATTGATTCTCATTAGTGCTATCAAGTCACTGATTCCGGATCATTACTGAAGTGGTCAAGCTCTGCACTAATGTTTGTACCATGAAACCTTCTAGTCCAACTACAGTGTGGTGTAGTATTTATACCAACTGTACAGGCATTCAACGCTGAGGACAGCTATGGGTAGTCTATGAGTACTGTGTATGATGCTGTACGCATAATTGCTGACTGGTGCTATCGATGATATTAATGAGTGCTATTATTTGGTGACTTAATGTCACATGATTCTCGAGTAATTGACCTCACTCAGTCCATGCTACTGATGTGAATCACTGCATCATCTTCAAATGCAGATACGTACTCAGACTCAAGAACTATGCCAAGTTTCCACCAAAGATACACTGATTCCGTTACGGGGGTATTGCCCACCGGCACTGTGCCGGCGGCACATGGAGGTGATGCCGATGCGGGAACCAAAGTCAAGAGCACTTTCAACTTCGCATTATCCATAAACGCCTATCGTACTGATAATTTCCAATAGTCACCTTGCCTCATGGAGCAGCCTTTATCCTCAAAATGTAGCACATTCATGTGACAGCGATATTGATACCCATGTTGTGCAACTTGACACTTGTAGCCGACGTGACGTGAAAGAAAGGATCCTTTTTGAGCGGTTGGCCTGGCTTTAGCTACAGGAAAATCGATCAATTCACGTGTGCAGGCAAACTTGCACACATCCTTGTGCCGCACACAAGTTGTGCGTCACCTTCACGCACAAATCACAGCAACCTGACGATGCGGTCATCTTTCCCAGATGACTCAGCGAAAGAAAATTGATTTGAGACAGAAATAGCTGATGATAGTATCAGATAACCATGCCATCCATGGATGTAAAAAGCATGCATAGAGAGCATGTGGAGACATTGTCTTCGAGACAATGATGAACAAGATACTCGTGACACGATGCAGCGAGGCTAGCAAAATGGGAAATCTGAGGCCCGAACACTTAGGGTCGCAGATCACCAATTTTCGAGAAACGCGCAGTGTTGTATATATCTCAACTGAAACACAGAGAGAAGAATTATAGGCCAAATAAGTCCCCGAATGAGTCAAGGATCGAACGCACGATCTTGAACATTTCTACTCCTGATCGCGATCATACTCAGCTCTGACTAATACTCAAACGTGCGCTGATGCTGGGTCGTTCTTGCGAGAAACGCACTGACTGAGATTCGAACCTGGAGTCTGTCCTTACACCAAATATAGATGGGCAGCGTAACGTTTTCTTACGGTTTACGTTACAGTGTGCGTAACGTAAGTAGTTTACGGTTACGGAAAAGCCTTACGACTTTACGGTTGGTGTTGAACTGCTATTTTGGAGTTGTGGCGGAAACATTCGCTGAAATGCACTCCACGATAGCTCAAATAGTTCTTAAACTCATTTCTTATGGCTCGGATTCAACCGAACCGCTGAGAGAGTAACATTTGGTTTCGCATTTACCACGCGTCTCCTTTGCAAATTTCACCCGTCATACTCCCAGGCTGGCCCGGAACTGCCAAGCCGGCTTTGCCTACCGATGCGCATTCACCCGAAATAGATTTAGGCGACTTGAATGACCAATCCTCGTTTCGTCCTCTGCATCTCCGTAAGACCCGTTACGGTGCCGTAACTTTACGATACGGGGCTTGAATGGTAACCGTAAAAGTGAGCCGTAACGGTCCGTAACGTGATTCTGCCCATCTATAGCACCAAATCACCGCCGGTGACATACCGACGTGCGCCGCGCTGCGCACCCGCGCATATATTCTGCTCGCCAATGCGTTGTTGAGCTAAACCCGTCGAGTTCGACAAGGCTAAGTTTGGCCAGAAACCATTGCCTGGTTTGTTCATCCGAGAATACACCTCGACCCAATCATCGAATCACGACGTAATGGATTAGTTGCTGCTCCCCTTTGCGAGTATGCGTGCGGTATGGTGTGAGTGTGCGCGCATTCGCACGCAAGCGTAACCACGATTGCTCGGGTGGATTTTTTCCCTTCGTATTGAGGAGAGTAGTAACGATGATTCGTCAGTTCGTTCTTACCTGTAAACTTGTCTACCGTGTTGGTAAATTCTTAATACGATTACCATGTGGCGGCCCCACAGCGGAGCCGTGACGGTCAGGGTGACGCGGATGACGTCAGATCATCCGACTCGGATGCCTTCCATGGCTCACTTGCGTCAAAATGACCAGACATCAGCGGGAGAGATGCGATTGAAACATACACTGAGACCTCGAGCCACGATGGCTACGAACCTAAGGGCTCTAGTATCCAAGATGAATAGCCCGGAATGTATCCTATGCTCATACTCGAGTCTGCTTTCTTCATTCCTTGTAAATGCGTGCATTGCCAGTGCACGCATGTATAAAAGGAAGCCTTCGCTGCTACACCGGCTTGGTATGAACAGCGCCTTCTCTTCCTAGCGTTCACTCTCAAACGACTCTTATGATATCCGGTTAGTCCATTTTGCAGGATTCGATAGACCTTATAGCATCCTCATTTCCCTAATCATGAACATCCTCTCAACTTGGTTGCTTGCTACTCAACTTGTGGCCATTTTCGCGATTTGCAGCTTGGAAACTGATGCAGCAACCCACCTACGCCAAGCGGTGCCGTCTTCAACGGGGCCATCCCAGAGCACTGCTTCACCGGGGCCTTGTCCGCCTCTTGATGGTATTTTCGTCAAGAAGAGTGGACCGCCTAAGCTATCTGGTAACTTCAACTTCACCTCCACCAATTTTGACATGAATCTGAGCTATGCTGGGACGCCATACACGGTTGAGAATATTCCCTACACCATGATCGACGAGATCGCGGCAGAGCAGGGATGTTGGGTCCATGTTGATCTGTCTGTGATCTATAAGATGCCAAAGAAAGTGCGGGAGGATGTGGGAGTTGCACTAATCTTCTTCTACAAAAACTTGCTGTACCTCCCCACAAAGTTCGGCGGCCCCAAGTCTTTAGCCCGAGCAACATTCACCAGACAGGAGGCCTTGTAGGCGGCCTTAGTTCCGATAACGAGATGGAATTTCAACTGGAACTACCGATGATATTTTTTGGGGAACATTATCCGGGTTTTCCGAGAACAGGAGTTGAAGCCAGTCATTATTTCAAAGCTATTGAGTACTTCGTGGAAGTTGTTGTGTGGGAGTGAATTCATCGACGGCAAGGGTCTAGTTAATGATATTATCATCCCAGCCAGAAGCTCATCCTTGGCATATCATCATCAGGGTGAATAGGGGTGATCTAGGTGGTAAGTCTTACCAGGTAAGACCTGCGAGAAGGAGTGCAGAAATACTCGCTGTTCACGTCTGTCGATGCTCCGTAGCTCCTTACGCATAATACTCTCCAGCAGAATGCTCAACTCGGCATAGTACAAGCGTACTAATCAAGCTCCGTGGCCAAAAACTCTCGTAGTCAGGATTCATCAAGTAATCGACACTAAAGACTAATGGAGTGCGCTCGGAGGAACATTCCTGTCTCGGGTGAGGAATAATACCCTTGTTACGTACAGCAAGGTCGATGTGAAAAATCTTTCCTCTATCACATGGCCCTAGCATTTATTTAGGGACGTTTACCCCGAGAAGTGACCTCCGATACGCTATTCTGCCGATGTTACTGAGAAGCAAATCAAGAGAGTGCTCTCGAACTTCTAACATGGACACGAAACCTTGTTGTGTATGATGACATTGTATACGACGATTAATGTATTGCTCGCATTTTATATATTTGAGCCATCATCGCTCGCCAAGATATCCGCATGAGTATCCGAAACCGTCGACCCTAATGGTCGATTCGGTTGTATTAATTAGACTCCTTCAATCCGGTCCTCTCTGAGGTTGCGTTGTCAACTACGGATCTAACACCTAGAACACATGGTCCTAGCACCCTAGTTGGGCTTGTCCTAACGGTTTGCGACGATAAAGCGCCATGGAGAACGATGACGCTAGGACATATGGGAAAGAGGTGTGCACCCTAGGATATTCTGCCAGCCCTTTTTACGGGTTTTTGAATCAAAAATTTTGATCACTAAACTCGACAGAACATCTTTTGCAGCGCGTTCACGAAAACGCCAAGGAAACCAATTGATATACCAAGATAAGGGCTTTCGAATGGTATGGGTCTGAGGTCGAATAAAATGTTACAGGGGGTGGGCCCTTGATAAATTGACACCCTGTAGAACTCGTGACTGATGCCACTAATAACATTCCGACCGGCATAATGCATCGTTCGCATCCTGGAGATGACCGAACTGTAGTTTGCTAGTACATGCCTTTCATTACATGATGCATTCAGAAAGTCGATATTGCGAGCCGAGCTGCTCATTCCACTGATTCGGACTCTGTCGAATTGCTCGAACGTTCGGAAACTCACTCGGATAGCTCGATAGAAACTCTGTGCTGCAGAGCTCGAGCCCTTCAAACTCAATGAACGCATGGCAACGAGTTTATTCTTCACGCATCCAACCGTTAGTCGGTTGACGATCGTTGGATCGCACGGCACCCAGCAAAGATCCCCTGTGCGGCCGCCAAAGTTCAACTCGAGCGGATCCTCTTATTCCGATATACATACAGCGTCTGTCCCTGACTTATCCCCAGCCGTGATGATCCAAACGAGCCAGCTCAAACGAGTTGATCATCAACAAGCCTAGATGGTATTATCTCAAGGACCAAACATGACTCTTTTCCAGTGAAGAGGTTGTGTAATCTACCTCACCATCGGAATGCATGAGCGAACAACCGATTATGGCTCTGAACACCAAGCCTTCAGTCTGAGGAAGAGATGTTGGGAGCTGTTTCAAATACCCTATGTGGATAGCGAAGAGGTAAGGGATGACCTTAGAGCAGTAAGCATTAAGATAATGATCACATCCCCACCGCGTTTTAACAAACTAAAATAAACTCAAGTATCAAGACTATTCTTCTCTAGCATAGCAATCTGCAACGATGGGAGCACGGATGGTAAGCAGCACTCTTAAATCGTATGAACAACAGTGTCTCGTCAGTATTGGGTTTGTGGTGTTTATGAGAAGGATAATAATTCTAAAAAAGTACCAGGTAAAAGTACCAAAAAATATACCGGCAGTGGTTCGAAACTGAACACTATCTTACAGCACGCATAGACCCTTGCCGACTATGAACGCTTGATCAAAGCTGAGCTCTGGAGAGAGGCCCTCATGCGAAGGCCAAGTGTTTGTCGGCAGTAGACCTTTTGGACATGCCTCCCGTATCCTCGATTGACCGCCGCTCTTGAGTCTGATAATAAGGAGCATACAAGGCATTGTTTTGCAGCTGATTCGTTATGAACTCAATACTTACCTTCCCAGTACGTGGGTCGTATCGCTTCTCTGTCACTGACCTCTGAATCCTACCGTCTGGGTGGCGTATTTGCTGCAAGGAAAATCATGTTGAAGGGGCCAACATAAGGCTATACCTTCTCAGTGATAGTCACTGTATGGCCGTTGACAGTACGAGTGCTGGTGGACGTACCTTATTAATACCATCATGGTTGCTCCCACATGAGTGTCGTCGACTTACTCTGACTCATCCCGGAGCTCATATCCCCACCAGCACTCCCAGTAGATGATCGAGCGAAGCCACCAGAACTGACACTACTGCTAAAGTTAGCAAAGTTGGTTCTCCTCGATGAACTCTGACCGGTGAATCCTTGGGTAAAGAAAGGATCATCAAAGGCGGACACTAAAGCACATGGACATTCCTTATAGACTCCTAAGGTCGCTTTGAGCCTACTTCCCATCCAAGCTCCCCCGCCTCTACTCGATGATGAGCTCATCGCTCGTAGTAAGTTACCATTGACCAGATCATCAAACTGCTGCCAGGGATCGTGACTCCCAAAAAACTGTTCAAAGACCGAGAAAGCGTCGTTCATATCGTAATGATGGTATCCTGAAGACTCATCACTACAATAGGCCATAAACAGGACACGGACCTCCAGCTGTGTGTGATGCACCAGAGGAGCTATTGCCTCTCTCTAGACCACTCCTCCCATATGTATCATATATCCGCTTCTTCTGAGGATCACTGAGGACCCCATAGGCCTCGGCTACCTACATAGATAAGTGAACTGTTACTATCTTCACCTGCCAGTATACCTCCTTGAACATCTTCTCAGCCGTCTCACGGTTATCAGGATTCTTATCAGGATGCCACTTCAACGCTAAGTAACATCAACACACTATCCCCTTCAAAGGGCCCAACGGTATTACCTTGCTTCTTGTAAGCCTTCTTTATCTCGTTGGGTGAAGAACTTCTCGGCACATGTAGAATACCGTAGTAATAGGTGTGGTGAGAAGGCATTAGCAATTGTACAAGAATTGTATACCCCTAGAAACTGCTATTATCACCGCAAAGCGTACCACCCGGCCATATAGACACATGCCCACCACGCTGGACACATGAAACGACAAGACTCCTCAAGCTCAGGTCCAAATGAACAAGGATAGCAACCTAAACTCAAAACGAGCAGCAAGATGGGTAGAATGATGACAGTACAAAGGAACAAAGCACACCGGGTAAATAATGTGGATAGGTTCAAGTCGGAAACTTCGGATTGATTACCATGACGGCCACAAGGATAGCCCCTAGAGAGATTGTTGTTGTATTCAGCCTCGCTGTATGGCAAGCACAGAACGTCTTACGACGCCAGTGTGCCCTCGAGTGCAAGTATCGTTCCACCGGCTGAAAATTAGTGTCTAATTATAAAACCTACCAGAGCCGAGATCCCTGCAGTATGTAGAGGACTGCTACAGGAGCAGTGAGGTGGTATGGAGAATGTTACACATAGACGTATTAGCACACTATCTCATCGCGATAACGTTTGGGGTGATAATAATAGGCAGTTGATTTAGCCACTTCTTGGTCACCGCATAGAAGGAGGTCCTTGAGTGGTATTAGACTCGATCTCCACTTGGTCACCTCCCCCGAATTCTCTTCAATTTCCTCAACTGAGTAGTCACTGA